GAATACATGTGATCACGTGGTAGTATACGTCGGCGAGATTGGTGAAGTTAGGTACTTGAGGATGTTCTCCTTTCCTCTTTTCACCAAGTGACTTGAGGACCGTGGTCGAGGGGCTAAGGAGGCGCCAGTGGAATCCATTCTTACTCGGAAAACGTCAAACCAACGCTTAGTTTTTTGTTCGATTCCCTACGAAAGACCCTTCTTTTTCTTCATCTGCATCCCCCATCTCATCTCCTCCTGGCCATAGAATTGTGAATGGAACGTTTAGCCCTGATTCTACCTGGGACATGTCACAAACAAACTGGATTGTTGAGGTTTCAAATTTCCCGCCAGCCCATCTTTCTCATTCTAGCTATCGTTATAGCAATCGCCAACGTTTCAACGTTGAAGCTAGAAAAGACAAAGAGGATATTAGACCGGGAGGAGCACACTGCCTTGACCTGCACAGTGTGCTCTCCGTCAGATTCATCTCATCAAGCTCCAAGTGCAATCATTTTCTCATACAAGTTCACTTAGACACCTTCGCCCTCCCAAAGTCCAGCTTCTCCCACTTCATGAAACAGCCACTCAGAAAAGCCACAGCTCCCGCCGCCACAATCACAAATTGCATATCAGCAATTACACTCGCGACGTCTTGAACGGCAATCGCAACCACCCGACGATCTGCGGCCGTCCAAATCTTGGAGTCGAGACCAGCCAAAGCTTCCCGAATATCGTGATCGTTGTAATTAAGCCCCGAAAGCGACGCGTGGAGACGGTTGAAGCCGAGGTTCGAAAAGACACAACCAGCTAGAGCAAGTGTGACTGAGATACCGCCAAGCTGAACCATGATGAAGAGCGCGGTGACGTCGAGACGACGGTTCGCGGGTACGGCCTGCGTCATGATGGCAACTCCAGTCTGCCACATGCATCCGGTCCCGGCACCGATGAGGGTGCTGACTCCCATTACTCGGGCCTCGGAGGTTTGAGGTGTGATTTGAGTTTGAAGGCCGGCGCCGATCATTGCCAGGGCACCACCTGCCACGTAAAACGGGGCATATCGACCGATTACTGGTATCATGCCGGCCATGACGATTGTGAAGATGATGAAGGTGAAGATGAATGGAAGTATGCGGACGGCGGCATCGACTGGCTCGACTCCCTTTGTAAAGGCAAAGAACAATGGTGTGTAGTACAAAGCGATTCCGTAACAGCTGCCGGCAGCCATTGTTCCAAGGCCGACGAGGGCGATGGTTCGGCTCTTGAGGAGGTCTGCAGGAATCGCTCGGTGTTCTTTGCTAGTGAAAAAGCAGAAGTATTGCTGCGCAATATAGATGGCGTATATGACACCCACAAAGACCCAGGCCACGATCGCTGAGTGAGACGGCCACTCCCAAGTGGAACCGCTGAAGATGAGAGCTGAGCACAAAAGGATGAATCCGGCCATGTGCAGAACGATGCCGAACCAGTCGATGGCAAGGAGAGCGCCGATAAGAGGCGTGCTGACGCCAACCTCGATGGGAGGCAGAGCTACGAAGTTGAGGACGGCGATGACAGCAAGGATGGGCAGATTAAGATACATTGCCCATCTCCAAGTAGCACTTTGGTTCTCAGCAAAGGCTCCTCCGATTACGGGACCTAATGTCAGTCCAATTGCCCACGAGACAGCCATGATACCTTGGACACGAGGAAGCTCTGCTGGAGTCGTGAGAAGGACGTTGACCAGGATACAGCTATATCACGCCATCAGCTAATGCGAGCCCAGTGAACGAGGGAGTCTACACTTCACTTACAGCTGGTAGATTCCAGCTCCTCCAACTCCTGAAACTGCGCGACCGATAATGACGGAGTTCATGCCGGTGGCGGAACCAGATACGGCTGCACCAATGAGAAAGATCAAGGTGTAGGCAACTATCTGCAGCTTTACATGGCCCAAAAGGGCGAGCTTGCGAACGAGAGGAACCATGCAGACTTGGGTTGCCGTGTAACCCGTCGCAACCCATGGCAGGAGATGGACCTGGCCAAAGGCTTCGTAGATCGGTGGTTGGATATTCGCAATGTTACTGACATCGTATCCTACATGTTGACAGGAGAACTTAGCTAGTGTCTACAGGTTGTGTGGAATTGAAAGAAACGGGTGGCCTCACCAAGCAGCATGCCTCCAAGGAAGAAAGCTGACTGTATGCATGGCCAACGCCAGGCTGCCATGCCATCTCTGGGGTGTTTGTTCGGCAACACTCCATCGATGGCTTCCTTGGTCTCTGGAAGAACGCTGCCTGTGTATGAGCTCCCTCGCTCAACATCAGTCCCGGCTGTGGGCTTCGTGTCTGTCTCCATAGCTTCCTGGCAACCTTTTGTGATGTAAGGTAGGTGGGTATGGTCTTCTGAGCTTCGTGTAAGAGGGCCAAAGCCAAGCCGCAGAAGTAGACTGTGAGACACAAAGAACAAAGTTGCTGCAGTGTTTGATACAGGAGAGAAGATCAAAAGGCAATGGGGCAGTCTTCTGCATATATACAACGCACTCTTCCGTCGGAGAATTGGCATCTGCCTGGGCAAGGCAAGGACGTGCCGTATCTCTGCTTTGCTTCGGACGGGAATCGCGGCGCGCCACACCCACTCAATCCTTACCGCCCGCCCGTGTCCTGCTCTGCGCCCCAGCGGCATGCAGTTTGCTTCAGCCCGCCCCCGGGACGGGCCCCCAATGGTAGCCGAGTTCCAACGCCCAACGCATTGTTTCCCAGCATCAAAGTTACAGTGAAGTTCTGTTTAGGTTGAGTCACCAGGATGGACCACAAAAGCCGTGTGATGAGATCGAGCAAACAAGCCAAATGTGGCTGTACGTCCGAAACACAAACGGCGGCAACAGAGTTGGAACCAACGAAGACAATTTGACGTGCTCTCTCGATCCCGGTGCTGTGCCGCACTTTATTTTGCAACCAACAACGCAGCGATTTACCCATAGGCAAACACTCTTCTTCGATCGAGATGAGCGGTCGACAATGCTCAAGTAAAAAATCGGAAATGGCAGGACTCATAATTCGCCGTACAGCCTGATTTGGTAGTCGCAAAGAGCCCAACATGTCAACACCAATTAAGCCTCAAAAGAAGTTGATAAGCTCACGTCAGCCCCGCAATCCAATCTACTGGTACAATGTCCATCCATACTTTCAAAGTTTGACGTGTCGATAGGGCCACGGAAGGAACCTCGTAGAGCCGGTTGTGGTAAGATTGCCCTTCCTTAGCGGCCGCAACCCCCGGCTTCCGACCGCGTGCCCACCTTGGTTGGCCCGCTGTGCCGGCAGGAATCCATGCAGTGAGATGCAGCCAGGGATTTGTTGGCCCCCTCCGACTTCAACGGATTGTACGAGCCGCCAGTTTGTATCTGAGCTATTCCAAACTCGCTGATCGTCCCATGTCGGGCGGCTGAAAAGCCTTGGCGGGGGCAGAGTTGGACTGAGTTCCAACGGCAACACGGATACTCATCGTGTGAGTTGCTTAGGGTTACCTGCAGGTGCGAATTGCTCTATGGTGGGATTTAATCAAAAGCCTGTGAATTCGAAAACCAATGATATGCTCTTGTTGTCCTCGCTTCGCCTCTATCAGCTTATGTCAAATTTGCCCAATCTCGACCTTCTTGGGGAGTCAGTAGGACAGGATTATCAGTTGGAGGAGCAAGGATGATACAAGGTAGGATACAAAGGAATTCTTGGACCCCAACAGCTCCGAGCCTAATCGGACGCAGTTACGGTTTAAACGAAACATTGACTTTACGACCTCAAGTCCAGTCCTCGAATCTGAAAGTTGAGGTCAGCCACAATGTCTCTTTCTCTCTACCTGACCGAAAGCAAACAAAGCCAATGAGGCAGGGTACATGTACGTAACAAAGCCTCCAGCGCCGCGAAGACATCGGCGCAAGAACCCCACTTTCGTCTAAGCTTCCGCGTCCCGCTCCATCATCCGGTGTTGTAGGATCTCCAAACCCAAACTACTCCGTACCTCACTCACACAAAGCGAGCCCGACAAAAATCACGACAAAGAGTCGATTGAAGCTACAACCTTTGCTCCACGAACAGCAAAAGAGGAATCAAAAGGTTTCGTGCCCAGAGGCGGATTCGAACCGCCGTCAACACGGATCGCTGTATAGAAGAACCACAACGTATCATCCTAACCAACTAGACGATCTGGGCTACGGGTACTAGGGCTGTGGACCCTTGCTTGACGGGGCAGCTCAGAAACGGGTAAATGAATGGCTGCCGTAAGCCAGGGCAGCAATTCGACCGCCCATCTTGGCCAACAAGATGCCGGATACCTTCTCAATAGTGAACATTTGCTGTTTCAATGCCATTCAGTAAATCTGAAGTCAATTTCAATTATTGGAGACAGTTGTGGAGGATTCAACGCTCGCACATTCTTTGGGCTACCTCACAGCGTAAAGCTGCGTTTGCAATCGGAGACCTCTACATAGCTCAAGTCTAGTATGCACTAACTTGATTTCAAATAACCGTATTCTCTCCCTCTAGCCGTTCCCTTTCCCCTATGCGAGTTCTTGAAAGAATCTGTTGAGGTGCACCAGGATCGGAGTAAAACAGGCATGGAGGCTCGCGTCTAATAAAAATGTTAGAAGTGCTTGCTACGGTAAAGCTGTTCATGTCGCTCGACCAAGACCATGTTCTTTGCTTCGAGTAGGTAGACCTGCATTGTCCTCGACAAAAGAAGGTTTTCTATTCTTGCCGAGATAATAAAGGTCAAGAACTTTGTTCTAATTGTCATTTGAGTTGAGTCGATGAACAATGAACTGGTCCTTTGAAGCCGTGAAACATTGACAATACAAGACACAATCATTGCAGTCATGATGTATTTAAGGTAACAGGAATCCAGAAAAGAAAGTGTCTTCTCGGAGCATCTTGATCATCTCAGCTTCTCTAAGGCCTCCAGGAGCAATATTCATACTTAATTATCACAGCATTTACAGCAGCATCTCGTAAGTCAACTAAACCCCCACCCAACTAACAACCTTCACAATGGAGAGCAATATGCCTTATGGTACTCCCGGACACTCTGGTAAGAGATGGGTAGAGTCATCAAACGCAGATCGTTCACCAAAGAGGCCTCGTCTCAACATCAACACATCGGGTAACGGACCAAACACACGTTCAGTAACCTCCCCTATCCCCCTTAGTCCAGCAACAGACATCTTGTCGATCTATCGCCGAGGCCCATACGTTCCTCAGGGAGGAACTGGCTCTCAGATCCAGCCAGTCCCCAATTTCCTTCAGCTCAACCCCATCCAATCGAACCGGCCCTCAAGCAGTCTGCCAGTTACCCTCCCTCCTCTCAGGTCCATCATCGCCAACAATTTTCAGTATGCCGATAACCAAGCTTGTCGGACATGTCCTCAATGCTCCGAAACCATTCTAGGCCCGGAACCCATCGGCACCAACGGACGACCCGTCTCCACCGTATGCGAGAACTGCAGGCAGGGCAACGTCAGGGAGCAGGTTCTCCGTAACATCGCCGCTGAAGCCCTTCTCCTACTCAACACCGGCGTCGTCCCAACCCGCGACAACACAGGTGAAGCGTCAGTGGCCCCCGTCAGCCCTCCAAAGCAAGATGACAGTCACAGGCTATCCCAAGAGTATCAACAATTCCAGCCCTATAGGCCGCTCCTCTGCGTCCGCTGTAAGAGGCCAGGAGTACCATGTGCTCCCGGACGACGACGATGCGCAGAGTGCATCTGCATCCTCGTCGCCTTTGGTCCAGACGATGGTTCTGGTTTCCAAAAAGGTAATAGTCAACCCAACCCGTTCAGAAACGTCCCTCTCTCATCTCAAAACCTCACTAGGCCGCCAATCCCTTGCGACGTCTGCCACGTTAAGACCGTGCCTCCAGGCACGAAGCGCTGCGAAGATTGCATCGCCCCAGACACCCCAAACACACCGCTGACAGCTTTCTTCACCGCACAGGGAATCTGCGTCATATGTGAGCGTAACCACGTAGTGCAAGGTAAGTCCCACTGCAGAAAGTGTCTCTTCGAGGGAACGACCAGCGCCGAGCCCCTACAGGCTCTCCAGAGCCTGCCCGCGGCCGAGATCATGCAGTGTACGGGTTGCGGTCACCAAGTCCACAGGACTACCGAGGGTTACTGTCGCGAATGTCGAGACAACATGCCGGGCGGCAGCGGGAACAAGTCTCAGGGCGGGGCGATGGATGTCGACGACGAGCCTGCGGAAGCTGTGTCCTCCACAGGTATCTTGACGAGAACGAAGTGCGGTTGCCAGAAGAACTTTGCGCGACTAGGCAAAAAGTTATGTGCGGATTGCCTAGCTGCCAAACATATGGTCGGATGGAGAGGATGGACTGCGTGGAGGAAGACACATTGGCCAAGACCCGGTCGCACGAACAAGAAGCATTAAGCCTGGTGTGTGCAAGCCTCAAGTGAGGGGTGGGTATTCAGGGTTGGTGGCCCTTACTACTGAATCTGGTTCAGTTGAGTTGAAGAAGGAAGCAATGCTTCGTTTTTTTAGTCGAATTGCTGCTGAGTGAGAGGTGGGTGGGTTTAAGAGGATAGGCCAGCTCAAGGCAAGGTGGAGATGACTGAAGATGAAGCTTTCCGCAGGCTAGAACTGTCGATAGGCGACCTAATAGATGGAGTCAACTTTGCGAGAAGTCGTCGTGAACTTGACCAAGCACTTGATTGTTTGTTTGCATGCTGGAACACAGAGCTTTTGATTACATATGCCGTCATCCCCAAACTAAGAACCCAGGTTTCAAACAGAGAGACTCTGCAACAGCCTCGCCTAGTCTATGTACCGTTGGCACGTCTTCCGCCACGTTTACTCCTCTCAATGTGGCCCTGCAGCACCTTCTTCGTCTGTACCAAACTCCTCTTGTTCTTGTACTTGGCCTTGTTCAGCGTCATCATAAAGTTCTTCTGGCGCGCCTTCTCCTTGTTCGTCGAACTCTTGCCCTCGGCTTCCTTCTTGGACCGGCGGATGGCCTGCGTCGACTTGTGCTCCTCGCGACCCGGCTTGCCCTCCTGAGACAACGCGACTCTCTCCTCCTTGGTCGTCTTGCGCAGCCTGGCGGGAGCCTCAATCTGCTCAGCCGTAAGGCCGTCGTCTGCGTGACGGGCCAGAGCCTTCTCAGCCTCCTTTGAACGTTTCGAGGTCTTGCCCAGTGTTTTGTTGAGACTGGCCTCCATGCGCAGCTCTTGGAGTTTCGCGAGATCGGCAGGTGTGAGAATGGTGGTCGTGGCGAGTTTTTGTATCCGCTCAAGTTCATCGGCGTCCTCCTCCTCGTCCTCCTCCTCATCATCCGAACCGTCATCTGCTGTCCTGCGCTTCTTCGGCGCAGGCTCGTCTTCATCATCCGAGTGATCAACGTTGATCCAACCGCCGGAGTCGTCGCTGTCATCCGAGTCCACTTCCCAGTCCTCTGACTTGTAGCCCTCCTCATCCTCGTCTTCGTCCTTGTCGGCGCCGTCTTCTGGCAAGCCCTTGGCGGCACGCTTGAGCTTGCGCTGCTCCTCCTTGTATCTTGCCAATAGTTCGATACCCTCAATGCCTCCAACTTCCTCCTCGCCGAATCTCTTCGTCTTGATTTCTCCGCTTCTAAGACCCATAGACGCATCCTTGCCTCGGTCCTTCTTCTGCAGCAGATCAGCGCCAACCTCTCTGTACAGAGACAGAAGACCCTTGGCCGCCATCATTGTTCCCTTATCTTTGCTCTTTCTGTACTGAACAAGATCTTGCAACAGTGTATCGGACATAGCCAGGGGCTGTCTGACGCAAATTTCACGGATAGCATTCAGACCAGCTGCAGCGACTTCGGCGGCGGCGGCTTCTGAGACGAACTCGTTGGCAATCTTCTGGATGAGGGGCTCAACCGCATCAGGGGGAACCAAGCTATGCGTTCCCTGGGCCAGAGAAGCCAAATAAGAAGTGACCGACTCTTGGCGGGGCGTGAGGAATTTGATAAACCAGGAGTACAGGCTGATGATGGTCAACTTGTGAAGACCAACCAGTCTCGTGACCAGCTGCAGGACGAGGAGCTTGTTCTCGTGCGAGAACTTTGTCTTGGTGCTTTGCAGGTGCTTCTGGAACACGGTCTCGGCGAAGCCTTGAGGGTCGTGCAGGAGGTGGAAGGCGGAGAAGTTGAGCGGGTGAGGCTTGCCCTTGCCGCGCTCCTGCTTGTGAATCTTAGCAACGGCCTTCTTGTATGCATTCGCCTGTTTCTTTGACTTCTTGTTGATGCCGATCTGATGCTTCATCTTTTGCAAATCAATCTGCTCCTCGTCACTGCTGTCGTCCTCCAGCTCCTCACGCTCCTTGTCGCCACCGAGGAAGAAGCGCACGGAACCAACGACAACCTTTTCGTTGTCGGAGAGAGCCGCTTCCTTCATAACGTCGACCGTCTTGGCATCGGTCCAAATTTGTCGCTTCCACAACTCGCGGGTCAGCTTGACAGCCCAAACAGCTTTCGGTGATGTGCGGTCGGCCGTGATGAGGTTGTAAAGGACGGTCTGGATCGTGCGGTTGAGGGGGTGGTTCGTCGCCTTGGAGTTCGCATTGCGCATCTCGGTAAGGATCTTGCCGAACAGGAGCGTTCGCAGCGACTTGCTGGGTGATGACACAAGAATGGGGAACAGCGTCGTGAGATAGTACGTCGAGTCAATGACGTCCTTCTTTCGGAGGAGCGCCAAAGCTCCGACAATCTTCTCGCGCAATTCGGGGTGCAGAACCTCGTGGTGCTGCAACAGGATCGCCTTCAGGTCGTCGGGGAACGCGACAGCATGCTTCGGGTACAGGTCGACGGTGTGAGCGAGGAGATCGACGAGGTTATGGAAAGACTCTGTGTACTCTCTCGTCGCTGTCGTCGGCGAAACGAGGAAGACCTCGCGCTGGCTCTCGTACTGGCCCCATTGCTGGAGGAAGTTCTCTTCGTACGACTTGGGATCGCGGCGGATCTTGTACTGCAGGCCGGCGCTGTGCTTGTTAGTGATTGACGTGTCGGCTGGATCGCGAGTGACTTACAAGTCGACGTCGACCTTCTCGAGGGCGGTCACCTTGCGCTTTCCCATGGTTGCTATTTTCGCGATTGGAGTCGACGAATTGATCGGTGTCTGAGCGACGGCGGGGGACCTGACCATCAAAAATCTCGACGGTCGGCAACTTTTTTTGCTTATCGTTTATCTTATCACAGATAATCAGCTTATCGGTGTCAGGAAGCAATTTTGGTGGGTCCGTTGGCTGCACTTCACCAATCGGAGGCAGTCAAACACGGACCTTTGTCCCTTCCTCTTGAGGCATCGCAAGAGAGAAGTACTTAAGGTAGTCGAGAGTACTCATTCCCACGATCAAAGACTAAGGTATTGAGAAAATCGACATTTGTTTAAAATGAATATGAGGATTATTAGAAACTCGGCTGAGTCTGGTTGAAAAGTGAGACTGCTGATGGTGGGGATACTAGAGACAGCGGGGAGGTCCTCCAACATCAACATCTTTCACCACAAGATGCTCACCCTGGTGTTTTGCCCGTGCTGCACCCCGGTCACTGCCAGGCTATCTTGAACTGAGGACTTCAAGTCAAGTGGCAAGTGTCTGAAGCGTACTTGGCCTGTAAGAAGATGCTTGGTCGAGCAAAGTAGAGCATGGCTCTTCATCGCTTTCGCGAAGCGCCATGTGAACAAGGATAAGTACATCCAGTGCGGGCTAATTCATGTCCATGTCATACGCACTACAAAAACTAGCTATCATTTTGTAAAAGAAATTGGCGGAAGTGTCTGAAACAAGAGGCCGCGGAGGCGTGGCATCATGGTGTGTTCCAGGAATGCTTTCTAAAACAGTGAAAAGCCCTCGTAACTCCATAAACTTCCTAAAGTCGCCGGTCCGGCGGCTTCATTACGGGAAGTTGTCGTAAGCATCCGCTTTTTGAAAGGGCAGGAGAGGCATTCGCCGCCCTTCCCATACAGGATTATATAAATGCCAAATCAATTCCCATCAACTCACAGCTTGAATTAATACCATCAGTTCATCGGATCTTCAACTAGCTTACAGAAAAGAAAGGGGCATTTACGTTTCTATATATGATCGCCGTCTAGTCAACAATGAAGCTCTCAATCATTGCCCTTGCCTTTTCCATCTTTGTAGGAAACGCGTACGCGCTGCATGTAAGTTCTTGACAACATATGGCCTTGCCACCTTCCAACCCCGAAGCTGGAGGACCCTAAGCGCTACAATTCATTCAACCCAAGCGTTCTAACAGTATTTTGTCACAGAGATGCTCTTGTCAGCTTGGATCATCGTGCCAAAGCTTCTTTCAGGTGGAGGATAATCAGAGCTGTGGCGACTTCTGCAAATCAAGCTTCAGTAATGCCAAGACGTGTTGATTGCAAATCAGTGTTGTGAATTTTGTAGTCAATTTGCATATATGGTTTTTAAGACTTTCTAGCCTGGGAATGTGATAAGAACTCAGGATACGGGCAGTAAACGCAATTCTCTGTTGAAGTCGCATCAACAGAGTCCCAGCAGAGCTGAGCGGTACAACTTTGGGAGCAGGATGTAGGTACCCCAGTAATCTTTCCCCAGGCAATTGGTCCGTAGCCTCTTTGTGAAGTGTCGCAATTGGATGGATGGGGACGTATCAGAGGGTTCAAAAAGTCGCAGACCGCCTGATCTGATAAAGTAGTTCGCCTCAACACTTCTTTAGGCAACCGGAACTTTTGCTGCCTGGCGCTTCTCTTGGGCAGATAGGTGATCAAAAGGCCCCTGCAGGCTGGTGAGGCAAAACACAGAGACCCCCGTCAGCCTATCGACTCTTGATGTAACACAGCTCTGTCACAACTCGCTCTAGCACTGGTCGTCTGCATGGTTCCCATAGCTCTAGCACCTCTTAACAAGCCTTGGCAAACACCAGGCGACCAATGCTCTGCGACTGGTCTTTTGCCATGTAGCAGAAGTCCCCGTCAGCTCACCAGGTTGTACTTTGCTTGGTGCTGTGCTCACAAAAGGTCCGTTTATCTGAATCATTCATTCATTATAAGTTGAGAAGTGAACTGCACGACCATCTAATGACATTTAGCACTCTCATTTGGATCTGGCGCAATACTTTCAAGCTGACACTGGGCACATCACTTTCGCTAAGTCGAGGAAACTACCGACATCTCTTTTGCATAGTCGTAGATATCGCGGCATTGTTCAATTGACCGCCGCCATGTCTGCTATTAAGTGGGATACTTGGAACGATGAGATCACTCAACTCTACGTCACTGAAGACAGATCTGCGGAGGAAACAATCAAGACTCTGAATCAGAGACACAAACTAAGGATCACGTACGTTTAAACCTTTGTCCACCTCTCGGAATATTCTCATCATGCCTCTAACATTGGAGAAGTATAAAACAGTTCAAGAAGCGCTATTCAGGCCTCAAGAAGGTGCGCGCCAACGAATGGAGAGCCATTAAACGAGAGATGCAAAAGCAAAAGGCCGCAGGCAAAGAATGTCTGATCTTCCTCAACGGGCGCCAGCTTGACCCTGAGCGGGTTGCTAGAGAACTGCGTCGATATAGCGGCATTCGCGGTCGAGATGTGGAGGATGGTGGTGTCCCAATTGGTGAGTAGTCTAGAACCCTTAACTGAAGTAGTCGTCGAGCACCAGATCTCTGAAACAGATTAGACATTGGCATCGATACATCAGGCCTGCACCGGCTAGAATTGCGCACAAAGATCCTCCCCAGGAGCGATACTCTGTCAGATACCCGGTCGAGCATTGTACGGCTTCCCTCCAGAGCGGATGTCACTCATGTCGCAGACCCTTGTGGCCCAAATTTAATGAACTTCAACCCTTCCTCTGCAGATGTGTACTCCTTTGATTTCGATTGCAGTAACATCAGCATGAACACTCCTTGCTTCACTGAGCTTCTGGTCCAGAAAGGTCCCCAGGACATGCTACACGTGCAAAGCATCCCTCGTCCACGAAGTGGTCGAGAAAGTCCTGACGGGACTAGCGAGGGTACGACATCAGCGATCTCCCAGCGATGGTGTCCAACACCAGATTATGTTATTCCTGACTTCTGCCTTTCTGAATCAAGCATGGTATTGAAAACTCGTCCCAAAATACCAGCTCGCTTCTTGGGGATGCTAAATGGAATTGCATTAAATATCTCTCGTACGTAATAGCCAAAATGTCCCCAAAAAATGCTTGTAGAGACATCGCTAATAACAGCCGTAGAAGTCAATCACTTCATGAAAGCCCTTGAAAGGGATATCAGTACTTTTGCCTCCAAGGTGGACCAAGTCCGGTGGCCATCTTGGTGGCAGGAACCATGTTCGGGTTCGGGTTCCGGCTGGATAACCCTAGCAAGCGGCGATCCTTCTCTACTTTTATTGAAGCCGATCTACTTCATTGCCGAGAATGTTCTTCGGCGAGACGACGATAGCTTGGAAGATGACGATAACGTGGATGCAAAGGATTGCCAAATTGCTCTGTGCCAGAATGAGCGATTGCTGAACCTATTTTTCTCCATTGTTCTGCATCTCATCTGCAACAACATCACAGGAATCCATGCAATTCCCTCATTCCTCCAATGGGTGAATGAAATGGATGTACTGGGTCAACTTGCGGTGTATTTGAAGATGAATCCCAGAGATGCTGGAGCCCTTTTGGAAGCAGCTGTACGTCGGCTCAGACTAGGTCTATCTGAAGACAGTCGCCTTCTGGCTTATCGTTCCAACAAACACTCGTGGGGGGAGCAGCTAGTCGACTTCTTCGACAAACAAGGGCTGGGAGTTTCCCCCGAACTGTCTTCACTTCTTCTTCACGCCATGGCAAGAAATTCGACCGTATCAACTGCAAGGGCATTACTTTCTCATGGAGCCGATATCAACTTTACCGCACCCATCGGATTTGAACGTGGCACTAGACCTTTTCGACGCCCCGTTCCCCCAATCGGGCCCCCGCTATTTCAAGCCATATGTTTCGAGAACCCTGACATGGCGGAGTTTCTCATCGAGGAAGGAGCTGAAATCAATGACTGTTACCAGGCGGGTTCTCCCAAGTTGTCCTGCAACGCTCTTAGTATCTGCATCTCCGAACTTGAACCATACGTTGCAGATCTTCTCGTTAGGAAGGGAGCTCAGATACCTCCGTCGATCAAAGTCGATTTGGGGCCCCTCCAAGTCAAGTTGAGGAGTGTATTCAATGATGGAAAGTATCCGCTTCTTCGGCAATGGATCCGTCATCACCTGCCACTCATTGATCTGATCGTTCAAGCTGCGAGCATCGGTAACAGCGAGCTATCCAAAGTCCTTCTACAAAACAACATACTTCAGGAGATGGCTTTGGAATGCGCCTTGCGTCGAGCCATCAAAGTGCGAGACACTCTCGCTGTGCAAACGCTACTTCAACGTGGCGTGAATCCAAATCCGCCGCCATGTCAGATTGAATGCTCAAAGTTTCTAGGTATTGACGAGGAATTAGCGGAAGAGGCACCAATTCTTTTGGCCGACAATGCTAATATCGAAGGGAGAGGAATCACGTATTTACTATTGCTTGCTGGTTCCCATGTGCCCGATCACGTTCTTGTCGACATTTTCCGACGGAGCATGGATGATCAAGGCATGGTACTGCGTCACAGTGATATGCTGCCATTATACTCCCTTTTGGTATCGAGAGTATCAGCGATGCCAGTCATTGGAGCTTCCGCCTTGGCAAGCGCAGTCAAAACAAGAAGCTTGATCTTATGCAGCTGTCTCCTTGATCTCAAGGCTCCCCTTAACTATTATGGAATCCAAAGAATGAGCTGCTTACAACAAGCGGCACGTCAAGGAGACTTGCTCCTGACGCGTTTTCTCCTTGAACGTGGCGCGGATGTTAACTTTGCTGCTCATGAGGATGGAGGACGTACGGCACTGCAGAGTGCTGTCGAATGTGGTGCAACTTCAGTTGCAGGTTGTCTGCTCAGTGTCGGAGCAGACATAAAGGCCGCTCCGGCGAAGAGGAACGGAGTCACCGTGCTAGAAGCTTTCGCAAAGTCTAACAAGGATGCCTACTACCCGAGATTAGCAGCCAGAGCTTCGTCCATCGACCCGGAGTACCAAAGAGATCAAGTTTCAAAATTAGGAGATTTTCGAAATTGGGTGGCCATGGGCGCGCCCATCAATCGCCTGAAGGGCGATGACAGTAGCTTACTGCACCACTTGGTATATAATTTCCATTACGAATGCCTGCAGTCAGCATTGGAACTAGGCGCACGAACAGAAGCCAGGTGGCACGTGGATAAGAACATTAGTGTGTTTCAGCATGAGCTTGAGCATGAAACTTCAAAGGGCATGAAGACTCCGCTTCAACTTGCTGCATACTTGGACGAAGTTGAAGCTGCTCGCTTGCTACTCGAGTATGGAGCCGATATCAATGCCCACCCGAGCGACGAGTACGGCAGAACTGCGTTACAGGCAGCGACGTGTAACTTCAGAGAACAGTGTGGACATGAAATGCTGCAACTTCTGCTTTCCTTCAACCAGGACATCAACGCACCACCAGCATATCAAGGAGGCCTCACAGCCCTACAGGGTGCAGCAATAAGCGGCGATTTAGTTGTTGCCAGGATGCTGCTCGAGCGAGGTGCAGATATCAACGCTTCTGCCGCAGCGGAGGACGGGAGGACGGCGATCGATGGAGCTGCTGAACACGGCCGGTTGGAGATGGTGGAATTCTTGCTCGAGAATGACGCGAAAGGAGACCCAAAGACCGGGTTCTCCAGGGCCATTGAACTCGCGGAAGCGGAGGTTCATTTTGGAATTGCGAAAGTCCTACGAGAACACGTTGCCACGTTGGCGCTTCGAGATTTTGATCTGGTACGTGGAGTGAATAACGACCTCGTCGGACCTCTGCCGTCTCCGGGGTTCGTCTTCTCAGACGAGGCCATTGTGGATTTCAACTTTGAGATGCCGAGTTGAGTATCTTGTATCAACGGCTGAGTGACGTCATATGAAGACATAGGTTCTGCTGAGGATTGGAGTTTTGGCAGGAATACAGCATATTCTAGACAGTTCCAGCATAATTTGGACGGTGCTGCTGTTAGAAGGTACGATGGCTCGGCGGTATGACTCTGACCAAGAGCGAAAGTTCTGTAAGGAGCTTTTCGATCTCGAGATGAGAAGGATTTTTCTTCAAGTTTTAGTACTTTGTTGTTTCAATGGCCGGTAATACATATTCAAGAAAGTAACATTTCGTGTTAACATGGAATATGGAGTCAAGTTAGGACTATAATTACACGTGTGCGATCAGGCATGAGGCTAACATAAACCAAACATTGATAAACTCCATCTCTCGTCACCAGCTCTCATAAAATCGCTCACCCTACGTCTCTGTATACAATCTCCCCACTCCCAACTTCATCCAAACCCCACGTCTATACCACCCCACCCTTCTTCTGAAAAAGACTGTAAATGCAGATCGTCTGCTAAGAGACTGACTGGTTGGCTTGCTAGGCGATGTGAATAACCATTCAATGCATGTGCGTTACGTAAACAAGACGTGTGTGTGGGTGTGATAGCGTAACACTTTGCTTCGTTCTTTCTTCTCTCCTTCCTTCCTAACTTCGTTCATCTCACATCTTCCTCTTTGTCTCTTTATGCACATACCAACTCATTCATCTCTTTCACAGCTCATCCCGTTCATTCTCGTCCGTTTCCTCCAGCTGCTCAGTATCTTCATTCGCAACCTGTGCTTGCTCATCTGCGACCTCGTGCTCTGCGACGGGTAGAGCTGACTCAGTGGCAGGTGCCTCTTCCTCAGACTCAGCGTCTTCAGTGGACTCTTCGACGGGCGACACAGTCTCAAAAGCTGATGCCTCTTCAGTCTCGGAGGCGTCCTCAGAGACGAGAGTCGCAGATACGTCCTCCGCGGCAAGAGTGTCCGCAACAGCTTCTTCACCGGAGCCTTCCTCAACTTCGACCACCGCATCAGCCTCAGCCTCGATCTCAGGAGCAAAGCTAGCCGTAGGCTGAACCCTGACAACCTCCGTCTCTGTAACAACAGCCTTGACCGTCTCCGTAATAGTCTCAATGATACGCACCAACTCTCTAGTAGTGATGGTCTCATGAACCGGAGTAGGTAAAGGAGCCCTCACTTCCTCGGAAGAAGGAGAAGCAGTCACAGAAGTTTCCTGCTCCACAGCAGAAGTCTGCTCCGTAGCCAACGTTGACGTAGTCTCAACCTCTTCAACGCTCGCGATAGACTCAGAGACAAAAACCTCCACACTAGGCTCTGGTTCAGCGACTTCAATCTCATGTGTAGGCTGAATAACGACCTCCGCCGAAGGCTCAGACGCCGTCACAGACTCCACAATAGCCTCGACACTCTCCATCACCGGCACCTGCCCCTGCGAAACAGGAACCTCAACCACGGGCGCAGCAGCATGATCGACAAACTGTCCATCCCAATCCTTCACCTCCCTCGGCGCAGGACGAATCGCCATAAACAGCACAAGCAAGCTCATAACCACGATAGCGAGGTTCTTCTTATCCTGCATAAACACCCGCGCAGCCTCAAGCAACAGCTCCGCGAGCCCAGCGTTCTGGAATGCTTGTTGGCGCTGGTGGTGTTGGGCGTAGGATTCCTCCGGTGGGGGAGGGGACTGGTGGTGCTGATGTTGCTCGTGGTAGTGAGGTTGTTGGGGTTCCGGCTCAGGTTGCTGTTGTGGGGGAGGAGGAGAGCGAGCTGAGTAGGCATCGTGGTGCGATGATGCGGGTCGAGATTCGGGAGCTGGTTCGTGGTGTTCTGGTTCAGGAGCTGGAGGGTGTCCGTAGATCTCACGCATGCGCGCCTCATCGCGGAGACGACGTTCCTCGCTTTGATCGTAGCGGGGCATCGGTTCCGGGGACGGGGGCCGAATATCCTCTGCCGCAGCAGGGGGAGGTGATGAGACCGGAACATGAGCCTCGCTCTCGATGTACTTCGGCTCCAAGAGATGAGTCTCCTCAATATGCGACGTCTCGTGCATCGGCTCCTCCATGGACGGCATATCGCGATCAAAGTCCGACATGCCACGCTCCTCAGGCATATCCCTTCCCTCAGTCGACTCAAGGATCGTAGGATCATGCTTGACGAGCGACATCTGCTGCGACTGCGCCACAACAAGACGCTCCAGCTCATCCAGCACAGCCGACTCGACAATGGGCTCAATTTCAACATCAACCCGCTCCATCTCCTTCCAGCACGCCGCCCAGGCACCGGTCCTCATAAGGCCGTTGCTAGCGTACACCTTGATGCGGAAGATCTTGCCAGGGCCGAGGGACTCGTAGCGGATTTCGTGACGACACGTCTGGCACCAGTGCGTCTTGGGCAGCGCGCTCTTTCGCCTCGACTCCTCGTCGTACTCGTCCTCGTCGCTGTCCATGTCCTCGCCGAGCGTCATCTCGTTGGAGGGGCCGAGGTAGTGCCCGCACTCGAGAACGCGGGCCCTTCGGCGTAGAGGGAGGTCGAGGGCTTCCAACAGCCGCTCCTCGAGTATCTCGTACTCGTCTTGAGGGTGAGAGAGGAGGATGCCGCGCTCGCAGACAGTATCGGCGACACGGTCGTGAAGGTGGTGCCAGGCCTCGCGGAGCGTCTTTGCTTCCGGGGACAGCGTCTCGGAAGACGTTTGCTCCAGGATCTCAGCCCATTGCCAGCGGAGCGGCAGGAGGGTGACGTGAAGAAGTACGAGCGGGGCGGGCTCTTTCTTAGGGTTGAAGCGGGTAGGTGTCTTGCGGCCCTTGGCAGAGTATTGGGCCGACACGTTAGGGCTGCCGAGGCGGGAGATGGTCGGCACCTGGGAGCGTTTGCTCGAGCGTGGTGAGTAGGAGCCGCCGGTGACGGAGGGCGCGGGGGATGAGTATTGCAGAGCCCGGACGTCGGAAGGGGAGCGGAAGGGCATCCTGGGCGCGCCGCGGATGGTTGGTACGAAGTCTTCCTTGTCATAATAGGACATCTCGGACACGGAGACGTCATCGGACATGTGGGAGAATCTCTTGGAGGAGCGGTTGCTCGTGTCCTTGTGGTGGTCAATGTTGCCATCAAAAGAGCCGAGTGAGCTACGCGGGCTGCGGTCGCTGAAGACGTCCGAGTCGCCGTGCTGGGAGGAGCTGTCGCCGCCGTCCTCGTGATGCGCGGGTCGATGACGGGCATCGCTCTCCCGACGGCTAGTTTGCGATTGTGTGTTGTAGGACTCGCGACGACTTGCCCGCGATTCCGTGTTATACGACTCACGGCGGCTAGCGCGCGAGTCGGTGTTGTAGGATTCGCGCCGAGTGCTCACATCGTAGTGTAGCTCTGTGCCGTTATTTGTAGACCCCGTGGAGTCGTGGCGTGCGTGTGACCTATTTCTAATAGTTTCCATGGTTTGAGCCTCGAGTCGCTCGAGGACCTCCTTGGCGGCAGCCTGAATGAGAGCATCGGTACGGCCGGAGACGCGGCGGAGGGAAGAAGAGGAACGACTGGCCTCTTGGACGCCGGCGGGCTCACCATGGTCCTCGTCGGCGACTTCGATGGCAGGAGCGGGTGTGGGTGTCTCATCTGAGTCTGTCTGAGCCATGTTGAGTGAGTCTGCGACCTGCTCTGCCAGTTGGCTCGTTGTGATTTCGGCCGCGGGTCCAAGTGATCTTCCCCTCTCAACTTCCTCGTCTTCAGGTTCTGTCTCTAGGGCGGGGGTAGATTCTTTCTTGGCCTCGACTTCGGGTTCAGGCTCTGGTTGAACCTCTGGCTCAGCTTCTGGCTCGGCAGCTTCTGGCTCGGCAACCTCTGGCTCGGGCTCTGGCAGGGGCGTATCCTCTTTGCTCTCCTCCTCAGGTTGAGCCTCAGGTTCTGCCGGAGTTGTTGTCTCTTCAGCTTCCTCGGCCTCAACGACAGCTTCAGGCTCGGCATGAAGCTCTGCCTCTACCTCAGCGACCAACTCTTCGAGCTCAGTGTCCTCCGCAGTTGCTGGTGCGGGAGTATCTTCTGAAATTCCCTTCTCAGCTTCAGCCTCTGCACTTAATGGCTCCTCCTCATGTGTATCTTTGGTTTCGGTATTCGCAGACGAATCCTCGTCTGCTGGTGTGTCGGCTTCTTCTGCCGTCGCCGCTTCCGGCTTATCCTCCTCAGCCGTCTGTGTATCTTCCGAGGCAGGCTCCATTTCTTCAAGCTTGGTCTCAGGTTCTTCAGAGGTGTTCTCCGTGGCAGACTTTGTCTCTTCAGCCTCCGCAGCCTCCTCAACTGTCGTGTCGGCTTCTTGCTCAGGAGTATCCTCAGTATCATCCTCCGCGACAGCCTCTGTTACAGCTGCCCCGGCCTCTGTTGTTTCTTCCTCCTTGTCGTCTTCCTTCACATCGTCCGACTCGGTCTTTGACTCCTCCACAACGACCCCGGGAGTCTCGTCCTTGACATCCTCCTGTGTATCTTCCACCGTCTTCACCTCCTCGGCCTTGGCAGCAGCGGCGGGGACGTCGTCGTCCATAACTTCGGACTCGGCAGCTTCGTGCGCGGGTGTATTCAAGCAAGACTGGTCAACATGGATCTCAAAGTCGAGATCCTCGGGTTTCGGCCCGGATCGTAGCATCTGTCAGTAGTCGACAGATAGACCGACAAAACTTGTGAGATCCCGAGTTCGTTCCAGTCGTTGAGGTAGAACGGGACGGGAAGGAAGCAGTAGTAATTTGGATAAAAAAAGCGGGCTTGAGGAATGCGGTGAATGCGGGTTGGGATAATCCTCCTTTCTCTTTAGAGACGAGAAAGAGAGACACAAAAGTCTCTCGAGAAACGTGAGGATGCTGCGTGTGGGGGTGGCACCCTATAATTCCAGTCTGTTTATGGCCCCCGGTCCGGGACGGGTCGAGGGAGCAACCGGTTTTGGAGGTGGTTCGTTTGGGATGGTTCGGTGGAAATATGGTGCTCTCTCTCTTTTCGAACAGGTCAAAAGTCAAGGTGGGACCTTGGTCTGAAGACAGAGTTTCCAATGTTGACTTTGAACTTGTTCTGAACAATCATACAGAAACACACAGAGAGAGAGGTAGAGAGAGGTGCTCGGCTAATATGTGATGCTTCGTTGTCTCCCGGTGGTTGGTCAAACTATTGCAAGTGGGCTTTCCACCTCCTCATCTTTTGGCGCCGGTTGGGCATTCACGAAAAAAAAGGCTGCGGTGAGAGTGAGGCGCGCGTCCAGTCTAAAGGGTCGGGATAGGCCCAGGATGCATGTATCCTGCGTCCTTTGCATTGACAAGTGACGGGAGTGGCTTGCGCATCGACTGGGGGTTGCGTGAGCTGCTCGCGGTGTGCTCATCTGTTTTGTTTACTTTCGTTGCCGGGTCGAAACACGGGGGTGGTGGACGGTCACTGGTGACGGAGTGGGGGTGGAAATTTGACCCGCTCTATTTTCCTTCGCCCAACCATGCCATTTTTCGACGTCCTTCTTTTCACCCAATTAGGTTCTTTGCCTGAATGTTCTGTCTTGAATGCGGATGGTTGGGGGAGGATACTCATGTACGGGAGTACGAATCTGCAGTGTCATAATCTTTTTGGCCACGATGTACGGAGTAATCTATAATTTCATATTCCATATGTGCTCCTATTGTCAAGCAGCCTCAAACAAAAGGGTTCACACGCTCCCATTTCCAACGCCGAATTCCCTTCCATTCGACTTCAAAACATACATGTCTTCTTCCCTCTCGCACAGCCAATTTGACGTCATCTAGTAAAGCCGATAAGAAGATAGTTGCACCATCAACGGGCATCCCGGACTCTCTCTGTCCCTCTCCATTTTGAAAGGTCCTGTCTCCAGGGGTTCAAAATGTCGGTGACTGGTCAGGGTACAGTCTTAGCCACCCGGATGACCCCATCCGGTCTTCCCATCCTATCCGAATTCAACTTACTAGAAATTACTCCGTACCCATCCCGTTGTGGCGGCATGGCCCAGTTGCCGGGCCGCTTTGATAGTCCCAAAAGTCAATCCAACTATCCGCCGTCCTCTCAGTACGGACAAAACTAGTGAATTCTGGAAATGAAGTGCTCTGACGATCGTGACAACTTAGCTTCGATCCCTCTTGTCGATGCGAATATGATGCCATGTTGTGATTTCGTCAGTGGCTTGCGACCATAGTCATCTTACCTGAGCGCTACGGATGGAGAATGCAATAGAAGCATGTCACCATAGCACACGTCAACACGGAATCAACAGAGAGGTCCAAACTCCCGGTCTATGATTGCAAACTACAAAGCGACTATTATACAACCCTCCGGCAGGCCAGCCATCTTTTCGTCTATCATGCTCTATGCTTCTATGATAGGCAGTTTTCCTGAAAAGATCAACCCAAGTCCCCCATGCCCTCCAAGGAGTCTTGCTGAACAGATGAAACAAGAAGTTTGCCCAGGCCGATGTTCGTTAAAGAAAAAATTTCTAATGCAGAGAAGAAATGCAGCCCCCATCTAGTGGGTGAGGAAGGGCGGCGGCAAATGCTGCTTGCTGCTGTGAGAGGATATCATAAAAATGTGGTTCCCCGCCGTTTAGGTTCATTCCCGGAGTTTTACAATCCTGGATCCAGGGTGATGAAGAGGGGACGGAGGAGACATCTCTGTCCTCATCCAGAAACCAACACCATTCTTCTTCTTCATCTTCTTCGCCAACCATCTTCTCGCCTCGTCTTTCCGGTTCGTCAAGTCGTTGTTTATTTGGAGATCTCAACACCGCCGGTGGCACCGAGGGCCTTCTTGAGGTCGCCGTAGATGGCGAACTGACCGGCAGTAAGGGTACCGACCATGAAGAGACGGGCACCGATACCGGTGTAGGAGCCGCGGATGCCGAGCTCCTTGGCGATCTTGATGAGGCGGGAGGTGGTGCCTTCACCGGGGAGACCCTGGGTCTTGTTGATCTTGGAGAGCATGGTGTCGGCGGGCTGGGAGACGATGGCGGCGGCGAAACCGGCCATGAGACCGGAGCCGAGGTTGACGGCGGTCTGGGCGCTGTCGGAGAGGGTGTTCTTGGGGTACTGGCGGAAGATGGCCTCGGAGACCTTCTCGAAGACGACGAACTTGGACATGGTGTAGGGGATCCTGAAAAGGTAGTGTCAGTTTTTGGTGCTCTCCTTCAATTCCGTGCACAATACGCATCGTGCGCGCCAGAAAGAATTGTGCTGGGGTGTAGATATTATACTTACTGCTTGAACAGAATGGGTCCGAAACCGGCGTAGAAGGCACCGATACCCTCGTTCTTGAGCATCTTGCTGAAGCCGCCGATGAGACCGTTGGCGTAGGTGGGCTCGGACACGAGACGGATACGGGTGGCCTCAAGGGGGCAAAGGGCAATGTCGGCGAAAAACTCGGCGGCAGCGGAGGAGGCGAGGTAGACAGCAGTGCGGTTGTTGACGGCGTTCTCGTAGCCGATCACGTTGATGGACTGCTGCTTGAAGAACTCGTATCCACCGAACTTCAGGGAGCCCTGGAGGAAGTAACCGGCAGCGGTAGGTCCGAAGCCAGTGAGAAGAGCGCCGGCACCCTCGTTCTGGATGACCTGCTTGAAGCCGCCGATCATACCGCGGTTGTAGGTGGCGGGGTCAAGCTGGATTCTGGTCTTGACGCTGTTGATGCCAAGTTAGTCATCTGTGCCAATTGGTTGAATACCATTGCGGTATGTCATTGTCGACTGCCGCGATTGAGCGGAGAGCTTCGCTGGCGGATTGCGGCCTTTCTCTTCCATTGTCCGCCATTTGGCTTGTGAAAGGGCACGCACACCGGCCAGGGAGAAGATTCTCTTCCCAACCGCGGAACCGGGAGGGGAAAAACACCTACACATCGACGGGAGTGAGAGCACCGTGGGTGACGGAGCAGCAGACGGCACCGGCAAGGGCGAATCTGGAGTAGAGGGCGAGGCCGGAGAGCTGGCCAGGGGCGGCGGCAGCAGCCTTCTCGACGACGGCGTCGACCTTGGCCGAGCCGGTAGAGGGAACGGAAGAGGCCATTGTGGATGAGATGTGTGAATCGAACCGGAGAAAAAATACAAAAGGCTGAGTGGGGAGGTACTTGTCACGAAGAGCCGCGCAACGGGATCGTGAGATTCAAGGGGATGGAGGATGGATGGTTAAAAAGGGAGAAACTTTTTTTTGTTGTTGTCGAGGGACGGGAAGTAAGAGGTGGCCGGGTAAAAATTGTGAGGCCTTTTTTTAGCGGCGCCGCGGCTGGGGGAGGAGCGAACTAGGACCGAGACAGGCGCAATTGGGAACTTGTCCTTTGCAGCGGAAAAGATTGGCTCGGGATTACTCGGGTACCCGCGATTGCGCACTGCTTGAGAGGTACGTATCTGCTATCACACTGGGCCCGACCGGGGTGAGCTCTTGCTCGGCCTCTCGGAAAAATCTTTGCGTGGACAGTCGCTGGTCGGCCAAGGTTTAGCCGGGGCGGTCCTCCCGCAACATCCAGTCTTGGTACGCCTTGCTATGCATTCCATCGTCGCAGTTCAAGTTTTTTTCTTTCGTTTCCTTCCAACGCAGCGCGCAAAAACACTACAAGGGATCCACCCGTCCACTTAGCGTCTTCCATTGACCCATGTGTTTGCCCGTCAGTGTCGTCAGAGCTGTCCAGGATGGGCCATCTAGTAGTAGTTAGAGATATAGATACCTCCCGCTACCTCACTGCGTAGCTATCGCCGTTGGATGCAATCTGTGATAATTACCTAATCTTCAACCTACTACGTAGAAGTTCCTGGGCATTAGCAATTCCATCCACGGCGCTCTTCGCGGCGCACATCGAGGCCACCAGACCCCAAGTTCTGTTCCGTACATCTTACGTCCCTGAAACCTCGTTGCGATGCCCGGCTTGGTGTAGATTTCGACCGCTGCATCAGAGCCGCCCTCCATCATGACTCAAAATTCGCCATCTTCCCCGCCTACCCTTCTAGTGGATGAGGTAAGCTCGGGAAGCTCTCCGGCTGCACCCAGCCACCAAGCATCTTCCGACTCCGCTGCTCCGATGCCTCCGGGTAGACTGCCGACTACCGACAAAGGTAAGGCCTTCCTGAACAAGTATGGAAGTCAGCTCGAGACGTCTATCAAGGCAATCGAACTGAAGTTTTAACAGTGCTCCTGTATCAATATCATGAATTTTGATTCCCCAATACCAATGGTGTTCCAGAGACAATGTTGTAAAAAAGAAAACACGCTGAAAAAAACCTGCCTTCATTAGAAATACAAACTCGGAATGAATAATACAGCCGCCAAAAATGCATTTGAGCAACGCTGAACACTACGCAGCCCGAAGGCTGTACCAAATCTCAGACCGTTATCATCAAATGATTGGATATATTGCAAAACATTGCCCGCCGATAACTCTTTTCGTTCCCATTCCAACACCTAGATTTTTGTCGCCCAAGCAAGTCCCGGCTCGTAGTATGCCGATTGATCGTACTTCTGAGGGTATATGTAAAATGACAGTCCAGCTCTGTGGAACAGCAAAAAGATGCAACATGACCGTAGATGATGGTAATTCCGGTTATATCAACAAGATAACAAGTAACCTATGAGCCTGGGTCCATATTGTTGTTTTCAAAGAGGCCCAAAACATCTCCAGGCAGAT